GTACCGAAAATAAAACCTCAAGTTCCCATCGATCTTATTTTGAGCATTCAAAGAACCACTTAAATAATTGGTACTCAAGTCATTCCGGAGTGATTAGAGAAGAAGTTTCTTGCATATGGAAGCCAACCGATATAGTATAGATTCATTCTTCTTTAGAGAATCATTACTATTTCTTCTAAATCACCCATAGCAGTAAAGATAACAAAAAACTTTGCAGCGGATGATATGAATAGAAACAACATTGTGAACACATAATACAAACTACAATTCTTAGGGTAAAGAAGAGGAGATTGAAAGAGGCTTTGATACCATGTCAAAAAAACACAATGTGGAATAATTTTCTGAGATTTCACTCATTGTAATTCTACCATATATAGGCTAGATACAAGAACATTTGCAAGGAAGAATAAAAAAATTAATTACAGAATTTACAGAAATATCCTATATTATGAAAGAAATAATATCTTATAATTAAGATATTGGCCATGTGAATCTCTTAATTGTAGGATATTTAACAAAGTATTCAGTCAATATGTTGTTCAGGTTTGGATTTGTTTTAGACTAATTTATATGAAAGGCGGGAAGCTTACTATAAAAACTATAACTTGGGGATATTGTGACCACCTTGATCATGAGCACATAGTTTGCAATGATTCAAATGGTAACTGAAATAATTTTTTTGGTACTGTTGACTCAATTCAGCCTGCTGCATAGTCGAGGTCTCTATTTAAAATCATCTAGAGCCCATGTATTATAGTTATGTTATCATATTGCTATTTCAGGTGACTTCATATGGCATTGCAATGGCAACAATCACTACAAGAAAAATGTCTTTCGGCGTCTAGCAAAATTAGAACGTAGAAAGTAAAATTTAGACGCTAAATCTCTTTCGTGTCTAAATTTCATGGTCGCTACGTAGTTGCGAAATCGTTGTCGCAGAAAGTATGGGCGTCTAAATTTTTGGTTAGTCGCGGAAAGTTTTTTTTTGGCGAAGCAAATTAGCGCTAATTGCTGGTTAAAATAGTCCCGCCCCCCCAGACGCTAATTGTTCAAGGGTACTTTGGTAAAATAGTATCGCGATTAATCAATTAGTTGCAAAATGTATTTTTCGTGTCTAATAATTTGTCGTAAATGCCACAAAAATAGACGGTAAGAGTGTAAGGGTAATTTCATAAAAAGTTTCGCAACTATTTTATTAGTAGACGAATGTATCTTTTGGTGACCAAAATTTAGTGGTTAATTCTAATACTTTTAGACACTGAATATGGAAACCAAAAGGTTTTCACGAATATTTATTATAGTGACCGAATGTATCTTTAATGACCAAAATTTAGTAGTTAATTCTATAATTTAGACGGAATGTAAAATCCAAAAGGTTTTCACGACTATTTTATTACTGAACGAATGTATCTTTAATGACCAAATTTGGTGGTTAATTCTTATAATTTTAGAAGCTGAATGTGAAATTCAATTATGAAAATTACTGTTTGCAATTAAAAAATTAATTGCAAAATTGTTTTTTTTTTAGAAAATAATTAGTGGCAAAAGCATTTGTTATTAACCTAGTTTATACATTCAACATCAACAAAATAATCCATCACAATAAAAATCTGAACACTAACATCAAATATCATATTTTCATAATATGTAACATGAATTTTTATCACTTAAGAGCAAAAAATTCAAAATGCACTATTAGGTGTGCATAACCAAAACAAAGGTAGCACCCACATTTTCATCACTAGCTATCTATCTGTGCATAACTAACAAAAAAATGCCCATCCCATGTACACTATCTAACATATATATGAAACAATCCTAAAAAGATGATCCTACCCATGTCAAAATATATTGCCTATACAACAAAAAACTAACCATCAATATCTAGAGCATCTCAAGTGTCACCAGTTGAGGTTTTTGAAATAGTTGTAGTTGATAAGGACGAGTCTTTAGCAGTTGGAGATGACGATGGCTGTCGAGTTGGAGCTTTATTAGATTGTTGTAGTTCAAGGGCTATAGTTAGCTGCTGCATATCTCCAACAGGACAAATTGTTGTGTTCAAGGCTTTTATTTTATTTTTTTGTTGATCAACTAAGACGAGTTGCTCCTCCAACTGTTTAATCTATTTTCTTCTTGTTGTACTATGCAACTTTAACTCTGCTTCTGCTGCAGTATCATGATGCTTAGTGTGAAAATTCAAAATTTTGATTAAATCCGGAAGCTTTACCCAGAACTTTCACATATTTTGCTTCTGTTTTTTCACTTTCCCTGTTGGGTGTTCATCTTGCAGCTCTATCATTTTTCCTACCCATCAATTAAATGCATAATCAATAAGTCAAGCAAGAAACTAAATAATTACACATACATTATAATAATAAGTCAATGCATAATCAATAAGTCAGATAACATGAATAAATACTCGAAACCAATCACGTTAATAATATTAAGAAGATAACTAAATTACCTGTTGTAATGCAGAAGAAAAAGACAACTAAAAATTATGTCAGAACGTTTACATTGAGAAATAGTTGACAAATGGCAATTATGACATGAAAAAGCTTTGATACTATTTACTGTGGAAGAAACACCCTTAGTTTCAGAGGTTAAACACTCATAATTACTTTTCCACATTTTGATCAACTGGATGATTATTAGCATTTAAAGAAATAAGCAGAAGAAAGAAAAAACATTTTACCAGCTTTGTCAGTTGCATGGAAGAGCAGCTCCTCTATTAGGTGCTGTGCAGGATCACCATCTGGAAACTTCTCCATGAAACTCTCAACATTTGAAACCACTTCCTGATTGGTCAGATACTATAAGCCAGGATGAGAGGATCAAAAATTAATCTCTTGGGCAGAGTCTATGGGGATGAAGAGAAGGCGTGTAGGATATGTATGGAGCAGTTCCAATTACTCATTTCGAAACATTTCCAATAATGAATCGTTCAACTTGGGTGCACCAAGATGCCATGATATCATTGAGCAAGTTTTTAAAACACACCATTGGATAAAACAATACACTGGGAACTTCATCAATTGAAAAAATGAAAACAAAGTGTAATGCTCAAGTGTGGTTTTGAAGAGCAAGAATGCATAAATGAGTGAAGCATTAGCAAAATCAGTGATGATATTCTTGTGGTTTGTTAGAGCAAGGACACATATATTGAAACATAAAATAATAAGTAAGTAATGATATTCGGTTGGCTCACATGACACAGCATCAACAGAATGATATTTTTATGCACTGATAAAGGTGACCTGCAACTTGAATCATTTCCAATGCTATATCAGCATTTCCTCTATCACAACACTTTTAAAAGATATCCAAAATAACAACATTTTATTTATACACTGATTATCTGTAAAAGCCAATATGTCTTGTCCATATACCGTAGTGATGAATATTATTCATGAGGATATAATTACTAGAACATAGCAAGCAATGAGCACCTAACGAAGATATATGCTACCATGATGTACAAATCACACAACAGTAATAATCATCAACCAGAATTACCTTTATCAGAAATCCTTGCAACAAAATAGCTATTACAAAGGATATACGACAAACTTTTTCAGAAATCCAGCTCCAAATGCTCTGGTAACCTTAAGACGACTTCACTCTATCATTGACAATAACATGGCTATCATCCGGTGTTCATTCTCTATTCTTATGATTCCTGCAATATTAGTGCAAACCAAAGTTCTTAGCAATCTACATTACTTCCCTTCATTAACAAGATCATACAGTTAATTTAAGGGTAGAGATAACCATACTAGGCGGTGAAGGGCCAGCGGGACAGCCAAGGAAAAGAAGAAAGGCAAGTAGATTGAATATTTTATCTTAATGAAATATACATGCAAGTGCAATGACACATTTGGATCGGACATTATCATCTTAATATGAAGCAATCAATCCATTAAAGTTGAAACTTCATGGAAAAACCAAATGTTATCAATGAATTTCATTTGTCACCAAGTGAGCATAACTACTCTGCAATAAGCAAGGCTGACTCAATATTGAGAAAAGTCCACCGCTAACCATTTTGGTTCAATATCAGTTGTACATAGGTCTGCAAACAGTACTAGACTTTGGGAGCACACCAGCGTGTGTGTCAGAGAAGCAGCAAGGAAAAGAAAAAAAAAATGGAAAGTTTATAACAGCATTCATCCCGTTTCCAGTATACAGACAACTGCTCAGGCTTCCCAATGAAAAAGAAAACAGGGAACAGATGACAGACGTCCACTACAAACAAAAACAGAGAAAAGCAAGATTGAATTTTGATTAATCTAATCTAGAAAGGTTCACCATACAGAAATTTCAAATATTTTCATTGAAGAGTGAAAGACAATAAATTGATTAAAAAAACACGACAAGAACTTGAACTCCTCCAGTAAGAATAGAGTTGAAGCTTATGTTACTGCCGTCATTTCAGCTTGCCTAACACCTAAAAAATAGTAATAAAAACGAAAGGGTTTTTATTTATTTATCTTTTTAAAGAACAATACTACCCAAAACTTGAATCCAAAAAAAATCCAAAGCTGCAACGAAAGGCACATCAAACTCATTTTAATGGCAACTAGCAACGCTAAAAACTAAGAACTTAAAAAAAAATTAAAAATTACCACACCCACAAAGCTTATTCTTATAAACAACAATGAAGCATTATAAATAAATAAAATTTAAAAGTGGAAAACAAAATAATCACTGGCTTCATGATAATCAAATTGCTATGAAATAATCACAGGACAAATCAAATTACATAAAAACTATACCCAGCCCACCCCAAATCACGGAACAACGTCTAAGTGACAAAAAAGAAATTGAACAGTCTACTGCAAATCTAAAATCATGAAAGACAAATTCTAAAAGCAGAAGCAGGATTCTTGATTACAAAAAACCAGTTTCTTTACAATGGTTACTGAATTATAGAATATGTCATGAAAACAATAATAAGAATAAATAAAGGGAAATGAAATAGAAATTAACCTGAAAATTGATAGCTTTGTCTTAAGATCAGAAGGCAACAATGGATGCTGAGGATACTTCTTTGCCAGATACTACAAGCAAGGCCAATTATTAACAAAATCCCTCCATATTCAACAAAAGAGCACCAAGATAATATAAAATTAAAGAGTATCAAATAACTGACCAGTAAAATAGCAAAAGAATCAGAAAGAACAACATCTCATCTACCAACCGGCACATAACCAAGAGGATTGAGCTTTCCAAACTCTACAAAAAAAAAAAAAAAAAAAAAAAAAAAAAAAAAAAAAAAAAAAATCAATTATCAAACAATCAAAGTCAAACCCGCGTCCATTTTCGCCATCTGGTATTGTAATATCCTCAAAAACTCACCAGGACTGTTTTGCTCTTCCTTCACCAAGTTCATAGCTTTATATTCGTAATCTAACCCTGCAATCAAATACTCAAAACCCAGAACCAAATTCAAATATTTTTCAATTGAAGAGTAGAAAGACAATAAATTGATTAAAAAACACGACAAGAACTTGAACTCCTCCAGTAAGAATGAGTTGAAGCTTATTGTTACTGCCGTCATTTCCGCTTGCCTAACACCTAAAAATAGTAATAAAAACGAAAGGGTTTTATTTATTTATCTTTTTAAAGAACAATAATCACCCAAAACTGATCAAAAAATCATCCAAAGCTGCAACGAAAGGCACATCAAACTCATTTTAATGGCAACTAGCAACGCTAAAAACTAAGAACTTAAAAAAATTAAAAATTACCACACCCACAAAGTGTTCTTTATAAACAACAATGAAAGCATTATAAATAAATAAATTTAAAAAGTGGAAACAAAAATACCTGGCCACAAACATCACAGCAAATTCATCACTCTTTTCAAACAGTAATGGCCACCTTCATTACTCATCTTCCACCACATTCTTTATCAATAGTTTCACACAATCTGAAGATTCATTGTTCCCACACAGTCAGCTTCACAATGACCGAAATGCCCTAACTCTCTTCACAAACCCTTCTTCTCTTCAACAGCCCATATTGATTAATCCATTCAACTTTTGCCAATCGCAAAGAGAAGAAGATTGAGAAGGACAGACCAATTAGACAAATCCCAACGAGAAGAAGATTGAGAAGAAAGAGCAATTAGAAGATGATTGAAAGATTTGGGAAGAAGATTGATTGTTGCAACGAGAAACCTCGCAATTCAGTGGAAGGGCGACAAAGAGAGATTTTGGGCGAAAGAGGGGAAATGTTTCTCGTGTTTTGGGCGGAAGAATGAGTTTTTGGGTGCCGGAATTTTCGGTAGAAGAAATGGGTTATTCTAATAGTTTATAACCTTAGCTTTGATTATAATGAAAATGGGTGGGAGAATTTGCCTTGGTGAAAATTTTGAGGTGGGAAAAATTGTTTTATTTTATTATTTCTTTTCTTTTTTTTAAACCGGTTTGAAGTTTTGATTTTCTTTAACTTCAAATAAATCTTTTTAATTTAAATTGTTTTTTATTTTTAACGAAAAAATGTTTATTTTTAATTTTTTTAATAAAATCGAAAATTCGTTTTCTCTATTTCTATGGACCAAAACGAATCGTTTTTCTTGATAACTAGAAAACCACTTCGATTCCTGGTTTGGTTTGGTTTCTACATTAAATAAGTTCATAAAGGAGATAAGTCAACCCAAACAAGAAGAGGAAAAAGCCACAGTAAAAGAGAAGAGTAAACCGACTTAGTATCAAATGAAACATACAATAACAAGAAGGTGATGGAAAAATAATGCAAAAACAAAAACACACTTTCAAAAAAATTATCCCAGATAAACCAATTCACAAGTTATCAAACAAAAATCAAGTATTTGAAATCAACGCACATCGTTTGGGAAATTTGGGGAAATAGATAGGGATTTGCCTGGAGAAGAGATTGGGAATTTGGGGAAATTTACCTAAATAGTTGGACGAATGTTGACTCATTGTCTAGCTCATAGAGAGAGCTTTCTCTTCTTGTCACTTCTAGGTTCTTGAGAATGGTCTGAGGTTGGTTTCTAAGGCTAGTCTGAACCTTCCCTTCAACAGAGCTTTAGTTTAAGTAGCCACTGGTATCGAAGCTGAACTGTAGGATCTGTATAGACGCAGGAGCGCCTTGTTCGCTACTCTCTCTCTGATGATCGATGTTGGTTACAATTTGCTTTTTTACATTATATAGGCTCGCTCAGTTCGCTATTCTTGTTATTTCGAATGCTAGTTGGTGGGGATTTGTGTGGAGAAGCAAGAGCTAGGTGAGTTAGGAGATTGGGAATTGGGGAAATAGCTAGGGATTTGCGTGGAGAAGAGATTGGAATTGGGGAAATAGCTAGGGATTGCTGGTGAGAGAGTGGGAATTGGGGAATAGCTAGGGATTTGCGTGGAGAAGAGATGGGATTTGGGGAAAGGCTTGCTTTATAAAGGTTAGGGTTTTTTGTAAATAACTTTAAAAAGTAAGGCTTTTAATTAGTTTTTTATTTTTAAATATAATTATATTTTGCAAACAAATCAATGTTAACTAAATATTTAGTCAGGAAAGCATTAGTCATAGTTGCTTATAATTGAAGTCTGGCGGGAACACGTAATTTGGGGGGAACATGAATTTTTCAACTAAAATGGCAACTAAACCGAATTTAGTTGTTGTATATAATTTTTGCAATTTGTTAATATGAACACAAACATCGGTAGCTAAAAATACCTAAGACCCTTGTAATTATTGTCCAAATAGGGATATTATGGTAATTTCATTTTTCTGTAACTAATCATAATAATTACTAATAAATTCCTAATTATTTGCAACTAATTTAGCTACTAAGGGATAGTTGCAAAAAATTGTTTTTCATAACCAATAATGTAGACGCAAAATATAATATTTAAATGCAAATTGTCAAATTATGGAGGGAAAAATCGGCGCTAAAAATTGCAACTAAATTATTAGTCACTAAACAACATGTTCTACGACTAACAAAATAGTAGTAGAACATTAACTTTAGACACCAAAAGTTGGAACGTGGGGACCCCGAAATTTTAATCCTCTTTGCCTGACAATCGAATTTAGTTGGTAAATTAGCTTTGTAACTATGTCTAGTTAGTTGCTAAAAAATTGGTTGCAGAATGTAGTTTTTCTTGAAGTGAATGGACTGAAAACTGTTATGCTATTAATGGGCTCACCACGACACTTCATGACAACCATTGATGCATAACTCGAAGGTTAGCTTTAACACTGGGTTAAATAACCATATTCATGGGCAAGCTGATTTTTCGTTGCTTTTGCTCTAAGGAACAACATCAAAGCTCGACAGTAGAATGAACTTGCGCTTTGTTCTAGTATTCTATAATTTTTTATGTACAAGTTGATTGAGAGTTTACATTGTTTCTAGCAGATGTTGCAAATTACATAAATTGTCAAACGCTGTAATTTTAACTCTTTAGACACACTCAAAATTGATACTCCCTCCAAAATTATCTCCTTTCGCTTTTTAGTAGAGAATTTTAAGATTGAAAGTAATCACTTATGAGTGAGAACAAACAATTGCGTTTAAGGCAAACCAAGCATTGCCTTGACATTTCCTTTTAAACTGCAACACTAATAAATAGCCCTCTTTGACAATCATTTTCCACCTATATGCAAATAGTCATCTTCCCTAGATCACATTTGTTATATTAAAATGTAGTGTCGAACCGGTCATCACGGCAACAAAATTAACCTAAGTACCGTAGTTAGCAGTAAGCAAGGTCGAATCCAAAGGGAGCAAAACTGATAACAATGTGTATTCAAGTTATCGGAATGAAATTGGCAAAGATTGATTAAAACTAAGGAAACTAATAATTACAGGAAATTAAAAGCATAAAAAAAATTGCTAACTAAAACACAATATTAAAGGCGTTGCCCTTATGGATTGGTTCGCCCAAGACTAACTCCTACATCCTCTACTTATTGTTAGACTTCCTAAACCTATAAACACAAAATGATTTTCCGGCAATCTAGGTAAATCTAGAGGTGGGCATTTGGGACTGGGTCTAAAAACTCGGTCTAGGAGGCCTGGTCCCAAAACTGGACAAGGCCTAAGGAGGAGGACCTAGTCCCTCCTCAAGGCTCGAGCTTAGGACCGGCCCAGGCCTAGGCCCAAACCTTTTTAATCATTTTATTTTTAATCCCTTATAAAATTACATAAGACCTCTTATAAAATTTAAAATAAACCTAAATTATAGGGGGTTAAAATGAAATTTTACAAAAAAAAATTTACTTTTGTTAATAACCCCAAATATCTTATTTTTCCACACCACTCAATCTCTCATATCTCTACTCTCTACTCAAATCTCCAATCAAATTCTCATTCAATTTATATTTATTTATTTATATTATTCAAATTTTTCTATTTTTCAATATCATCTCTTATTCATATTATTATTAATTTTTTTAATTTTAATTATTTATTATTTTATCATAAATTCATATGGATTCTCGAAATGATGCATTCGAAGGATCATCCCTAAATGAGTTTTACGTTCCATCCACCAATGAAATAGAAGGGTTCAATCCATTTTCACCCATTCCTCCAGAGGTAGCAACTGCAATCTACAATTACATTCGGCCAGGATGAGGTATAGCAAACCATAAGAGTGCGAGTCAACGGGCACAGCATAGCCCAACAACCCCACCCCCCCCCCCCCCCCCCCCGCCCGATCGTCAAAGAGGGTCATATCCGATGTGGCGACACTTCACCAAATTAAAACGGCAAAGACAAATGAAGAGGGGGAAGAATCGTGTGGCAAGTAATTTCGTTGGAACCATATTAGCGCTGAGAATGGGACTGTCGCATGCGATGACACTTGGAGAAGAAGCACCCCCAATAATGCAATTACCCGGTACATCTTCAACCAGATCAGGTAGGCAATTCAAACTCAACTTAATTTTAATCCACAATCCTCAACTTTCCAAAATGACAATACAGGAAATAACAAGATTCATAGTTGCTACGGACTCTCGCATTGTTAATCTGAAAATCCTTATTATTCACATGATTAAAACTACATTTTGTCTAGCATATACCCGTGTTAAGTAAGTACAAGTAGAAGAGATATACCAAAACTTTATAAACAAATAAAATAATAAACTAAAAACAATTTCAAAATTTAAGGAATATATCTATGCACTTAAATTAGGCATTGTGCTTGTAGATCAAAAACCGATTTTTTAACTGTCACAGTATATTTTTAGAACATAATTGGGTTTACAACAAAAATTGATGGGTTTTAAACCATTATAAAAAACATAGTGCTGCTATTTATTTATCAATTCTTGAAGTTTTGCAAGATATCTATTAACTGATAAGTTGTAGCGTTAAGCTTGATAATGCGAGTACTAACACGCGGCAATACTCTTTCATTTGAAAAGAGATTGGATTCTCGTGGTGAAGGCAAATTTTTTCCACCCGAGATGTACTTGCCACATCATCAATTGATAGTAAAGCAGGTTTAGATGCTATACATTCGAAGATGGAGAAAGTGTGCGTGGCTATCGGATTTTATCGCGGCAGTAAGTAATAAAAGATGGCAGAAGTATGTCAATTATGAAGAAAGAGGACCCACCGGTTCAACCTTTGAAGTTATGTACACACATGTCTATCGGTTGGAACTGCACCTACTTGATGTTGGAAAAAGTTTTGCCAATCGTAAAACAAATTATGATTTGTCAACCGGAAACACTATCTAGAGGAAGTTAGCTATGATGATGGGTGGTTTGTGAACTTTTTTTTTTCATTTCTTAAAAATTTTTATGATTCTATTAGTACATTAAGTGGTATTTATTATCCGACTACTAATTTAGTATAGAATTTACTTCAAATTGCTAAAACTTTTGCTAAAATAGTATAATAACGTTTTAAGGGAAACTGTTTCAAAGAT